CGTTTATCCCAGCCCTAGACCCAAAACTATAGCTTTTTACAGTCTTTAAAGGCACACCGCGGACTTTGTGACCTAAAGAGTTGACACATATGAGTTATTTTATATGAATACTTGGGCCAATATACAGCGCTTGACACTTGCAATGCTCCGAGCGGGGCTGCCCTCTTGAAATACCGCCCATGTAAGTTTCGAGCAGACGGACCGTCTGCCACCAGGTCACGTGACTTGGAAGAAAGACTTGCTTTACGGCTACAGGCGCTGATATACTCATGGAGCTAAGGCTTTTGCTACTCATTTTTCACCTGCTCGACTCCTGGTCATGGCTGAGGCAAGGAAAATTTTTAAACCTTCGGAGGAGGCTAAAAAGAGGAAACGCGAAAGGGATCGTGCTGTAAGCTGCATGTCTGTATGAGCGCTGCTGTTCACCTGGTTCCTGGATGTCATCGACTGCAAAGATGTCATTCCACGCAGCACGAGCTAGACGCAGAACTCCCTCATCCAGGATATAGAAGTCCATGTGTGGTAGATTACTAATGCAGCGGTCTGGAGGCTGACCACAGCAGAGTCTCTCAATATCTGTAGGCATGTCTCTACAGTTTGAACACACACACCAGTGCATGCTGTCTGAATACACACTCAAAAGACACCGGCTGACTGTTTGTTGACTTTTGCGACAGTGCTGAGTTGCTTGTGGCCACTAGGGGCGCTAAACGTGAAAGTTGCAGGTCTAGCGCCCCTAGTGGCCAAGAGTTACACGGTGTGCCTTTAATCATTATGAGACTTACAGTAACTTATAACATTTTAGAATCTTTCTTTAACTTAAGAATTGTAACCGTTTAACTTTAACTTTCTAGGGTTTTAACCATTTTTAACATATAATCTGATTGACAAAAAACTATTTTATATTTTTAGCTTTAAATTAAACACTTTTTTGCATTTTAACTGCTTTGGCTCTCACAGAGAGTTTATAAAGGGCAGTAAAGTGACTTTATAAAGGGCGGTAAGGTGACTTTATGAAGGGCAGTAAGTGACTTTATAAAGAGCAGGAAGTGAATTTATAAAGGGCAGTAAGTGACTTTATAAAGGGCAGTAAGTGACTTTATAAAGGGCAGTAAGTGACTTTATAAAGGGCAGTAAGGTGACTTTATAAAGGTCAGTAAGTGACTTTATAAAGGGCAGTAAGGTGACTTTATAAAGGAAGGTAAGTGACTTTATAAAGGGCAGTAAGTGACTTTATAAAGGTCAGTAAGTGACTTTATAAAGGGCAGTAAGTGACTTTATAAAGGGCAGTGAGTGAATTTATAAAGGGCAGTAAGTGACTTTATAAAGAGCAGTAAGTGACTTTAAAAAGGGCAGTAAGAGAGTTTATAAAGGGCAGTAAAGTGACTTATAAAGGGCAGTAAGTGACTTTATAAAGAGCAGTAAGTGACTTTATAAAGGGCAGTAAGGTGACTTTATAAAGGGCAGTAAGTGACTTTATAAAGGGCAGTAAGATAGTTTATAAAGGGCAGTAAAGTGACTTTATAAAGGGCAGTAAGGTGACTATAAAGGGCAGTAAGTGACTTTATAAAGGTCAGTAAGTGATTTTATAAAGGGCAGTGAGTGATTTTATAAAGGGCAGTAAGTGACTTTATAAAGGGCAGTAAGTGACTTTATAAAGGGCAGTAAGAGAGTTTATAAAGGGCAGTAAAGTGACTTTATAAAGGGCAGTAAGGTGACTCTATAAAGGGCAGCAAGTGACTTTATAAAGGGCAGTAAGTGAATTTATAAAGGACAGTAAGTGACTTTATAAAGGGCAGTAAGATGACTTTATAAAGGGCAGTAAGAGAGTTTATAAAGGGCAGTAAAATGACTTTATAAAGGGCAGTAAGTGACTTTATAAAGGGCAGTAAATGACTTTATAAAGAGCAGTAAGTGAATTTATAAAGGGCAGTAAGTGACTTTATAAAGGGCAGTAAGTGACTTTATAAAGGGCAGTAAGTGACTTTATAAAGGGCAGTAAGTGACTTTATAAAGGGCAGTAAGTGACTTTATAAAGGGCAGTAAGTGACTTTATTAAGGGCAGCAAAGTGACTTTATAAAGGGCAGTAAAGCCACTTTATAAAGGGCAGTAAGTGACTTTATTAAGGGCAGCAAAGTGACTTTATAAAGGGCAGTAAAGCCACTTTATAAAGAGCAGTAAGTGACTTTATAAAGGGCAGTAAGTGACTTTATAAAGGGCAGTAAGTGACTTTATAAAGGGCAGTAAGAGAGTTTATAAAGGGCAGTAAAGTGACTTTATAAAGGGCATTAAGGTGACTTTATAAAGGGCAGTAAGTGACTTTATAAAGAGCAGTAAGTGAATTTATAAAGGGCAGTAAGTGACTTTATAAAGGGCAGTAAGTGACTTTATAAAGGGCAGTAAGTAAGGGCAGTAAAGTGACTTTATAAAGGGCAGTAAAGTGACTTTATAAAGAGCAGTAAGTGACTTTATAAAGGGCAGTAAGTGACTTTATAAAGGGCAGTAAGTGACTTTATAAAGGGCAGTAAGTGACTTTATAAAGGGCAGTAAGTTACTTTATAAAGGGCAGTAAAGTGACTTTATAAAGGGCAGTAAGTGACTTTATAAAGGGCAGTTAGTGACTTTATAAAGGGCAGTAAGATGACTTTATAAAGGGCAGTAAGTGACTTTATAATGTCCACATGGAACGGTCCATGTGCAGGTCAGAGGTTGGACACCAGCTGGTCCATCTCCTCCTGTAGGAGACACCAGGACACCAGCCGATCCACCTCCTCCTGTAGGAGACACCAGGACACCAGCCGATCCACTTCCTCCTGTAGGAGACACCAGGACACCAGCCGATCCACCTCCTCCTGTAGGAGACACCAGGACACCAGCCGGTCCACCTCCTCCTGTAGGAGACACCAGGACACCAGCCGATCCACTTCCTCCTGTAGGAGACACCAGGACACCAGCCGATCCACCTCCTCCTGTAGGAGACACCAGGACACCAGCCGGTCCACCTCCTCCTGTAGGAGACACCAGGACACCAGCCGATCCACCTCCTCCTGTAGGAGACACCAGGACACCAGCCGATCCACCTCCTCCTGTAGGAGACACCAGGACACCAGCCGATCCACCTCCTCCTGTAGGAGACACCAGGACACCAGCCGGTCCACCTCCTCCTGTAGGCTGACTCATTGTTGTTGGAGATGAGTCCGATGAGGGTGGTGTCGTCAGCTTCACGGAGTCGTGGCTGGAGGTGCAGTAAGAGGTACAGTGGGAGGTGTTGCAGAGGAGGAGGTGCAGTGGTTGGTGTACAGGGAGAAGAGCAGGGGAGAAAGAACACAGCCCTGTGGGGCTCCTGTATTTATAATCCGAGAGTCCGAGACATTCTTCCCCAGACGCACTCGCTGCTTCCTGTCTGTCAGGAAGTCAGTGATCCACCTGCAGGTGTTTGTGTGTCTGTAAGTCTGTAAGTGTAAGTCTGTTTGTGTGTCTGCGTATGTCTGTGAGTGTGTGTGTCTGCGTATGTCTGTGTGTGTAAGTCTGTGTGTCTGCGTATGTCTGTGTGTGTAAGTCTGTGAGTGTGTGTGTCTGTGTTTGTATCATATTCATGATGAAGAATTAATACATCTAGAAAATGATTTGTGTTGTTTTCAAAGATTCTAGCTCATGTCCTGTCCCTGTTCCACCACCAGAGGGCGCTGCACACACACACACACACACACACACACACATACATAGACATACACACACATTTATTTAGATTCTGTTTTATTCACAAATGTAACATTTACAGACTTCACCAGTGACGACAAAACATAAGCAAACACTCACAAAACACATCACTCAGAGACCAGAGAGAGACCAGAGAGAGACCAGAGAGACCAGAGAGAGAGACCAGAGAGAGAGACCAGAGAGAGACCAGATAGAGACAAGAGAGACCAGAGAGAGACAAGAGAGACCAGAGAGAGACCAGAGAGAGACTAGAGAGAGACCAGAGAGAGACCAGAGAGAGACCAGAGAGAGACCAGAGAGAGACCAGATAGAGACAAGAGAGACCAGAGAGAGAGAGAGAGACCAGAGAGAGACCAGAGAGAGAGACTAGATAGAGACTAGATAGAGACCAGGGAGAGACCAGAGAGACCAGAGAGACCAGAGAGAGACCAGATAGAGACCAGAGAGAGACCAGATAGAGACAAGAGAGACCAGAGAGAGACCAGAGAGAGACTAGAGAGAGACCAGAGAGAGACCAGAGAGAGACCAGAGAGAGACCAGATAGAGACAAGAGAGACCAGAGAGAGAGAGAGACCAGAGAGAGACCAGAGAGAGACACTGCAAAACAATGGACAAAGAGAAGATTCAAATACTTTTGTTCTGGGCCCGGTCTCTGTTTGGGATTGTTGTGGTAAAGAGGGAGCAGTGTCTTCCGTCAGAGCTCCCTGTTGTCACCCTCAGAGTAGAACCCAAAGGACCAGATGGGGGATACCAGTGGTCCCGAGGAGGTTTCTCAGAGGGGCTCTTAGTGAGAGTGGGCGGAGCTTAAAGATAGGGGAGGGGCTCTTCGTGAGTGTGGGAGGAGCTTAGAGAGAGGGGAGGGGCTATTGGTGAGTGTGGGAGGAGCTTAGAGAGGGGAAGGGCTATTGGTGAGTGTGGGAGGAGCTTAGAGAGAGGGGAGGGGCTATTGGTGAGTGTGGGAGGAGCTTAGAGAAATGGGAGGGGCTATTGGTGAGTGTGGGAGGAGCTTAGAGAGAGGGGAAGGGCTACTGGTGAGTGTGGGAGGAGCTTAGAGAGAGCGGAGGGGCTTTTAGTGACAGTGGGAGGAGCTTAGAGAGGGAGAGGAGCTCGGAGTAGAGCCGCTGGGTTGAGATGGACCAGGCCCAGATTAAACAACATCATGGATGATTCAAACACGCATTTCTGAATTCTACTTCTGCGCATGGATCAAAGTTCATCAGAGAGTACAAAACTAGACCAGTGGAGACCAGTGGGGACCAGGTGGACACCAGAGGAACATCTACGCTCCCAGCATCTTCTTCACCATGTAGCCCGGCATGTTGTAGAGGAACAGCCCCAGGATGGCGAGCAGCAGGAGCGCCGTCACAATCTTTATGGTCAACCAGCGATACTGGTCACACACCAGGTGTTTCGCTGCTTTGAGAGGAATCAGGAACCAGAGGAGAGCCACGTCTGGACGACTGAGGAGAGAGAGGAGACCAGAGATCTGTGAGCAGGGACCAGAGGAGAAGGACCAGAGAGAGACCAGAGAGAGAGACTACAGAGAGCAAAAGAAGAACCAGAGAGAGAGACAAGAGGGAGACCAGAGAGAGAGACAAGAGGGAGACCAGAGAGAGACCAGAGAGAGACCAGAGAGAGACCTGAGAGAGACTACAGAGACCAGAGGGAGACCAGAAAGTGACCAGAGAGAGATCAGAATGAGGGGAGAGAGACCAGAAAGTGAGGCCAGAGATCTGCACACGTTCAGGATGGAATTTTTCTGGTCGGTCCTGGACAACTCATGGTCCAGTCCGGATTCAGTCTTGGTCCAGTCCTCGTCCAGTCTTGGTTCAGTCTTGGTCCAGTCTTGGTTCAGTCTTGGTTCAGTTTTGGTCCAGTCTTGGTCCAGTCTTGGTCCAGTCCTGGTTCAGTCTTGGTCCATTCCTGGTCCAGTCTTTGTTCAGTCCTGGTCCAGTCCGTACTTGGGTTTCTCCAGTGGTTCTGGTTCGTTGCGTCCGTCTCCAGCTGGACTCTTCTCGGCCTCTTCTCCGGTCAGAAGGTGAAGCTCTGCCTCCACTTTCCCCTGGACACAACACAACACTCTTTACCTGTGTGTGTGTGTCTGTGTGTGTGTGTGTCTGTGTGTGTGTGTGTCTGTGTGTGTGAGGGTGTGTGTGTGTCTGAGTGTGTGTGTGTCTGTGTGTGTGTGTGCGTGTCTGTGTGTGTGAGGGTGTGTGTGTGTCTGAGTGATTGTGTGTCTCAGTGTGTGTGTGTCTGTTTATCTGTGTGTCTGTGTGTGTGTCTGAGTGATTGTGTGTGAGAGTGTGTGTGTCTGTGTTTATCTCTGTGTGTGTGTGTGTCTGTGTGATTGTGTGTCTGAGTTTATCTGTGTGTGTCTGTGTTTATCTGTTGTGTGTGTATCTGTGTCTGAGTGAGTGTGTGTCTGTGTCTGAGTGAGTGTGTGTCTGTGTCTGAGTGTGTGTCTGTGTGTGTTACCGTGAGTTCGAACTCGTCCTCCTCGTTGCGTGCCACGAAGGGCCACCATCCTTTGATCCTCTTCTGTTTGAAGATAGAGACCATGGGCACCTCCCCCTCGTTGGTCACCATGGCGAGGGTACACTGCTTCGCCGTTTTAGCTCCACGAGGAAAACGGTTCAGGTCCAACTCGATTGCCCCTGAGGAGAACCACCATGAAGACCAGGACCAGGACCAGGGCCAGGACCAGGACCAGGGCCAGGGCCAGGGCCAGGGCCAGGGCCAGGACCAGGGCCAGGGCCAGGGCCAGGGCCAGGGCCAGGACCACTTTGGATACTTTTGACTCTTTTTTCTCCATACATATTATATAGAGGTTTTGAGTAAAACAAATAAAATAAAAACATGAAAAAATCAACAATAAAAACAACAACTAATGAGAACTTGTAGCTTCTCTTCAAAACATAGAATAATATCCAAACAGTGTAAATAACTGCAAGTTAGTCTTTTTTCTTCTTCATGTCATCAGTAAAGTCCAAATCCTTCATGAACTCAATAACGCGTCCCCAAATGTGTTCAAATATATGTTGTTTTGACTTCTGGATATACGTCATTCTTTCTAAAGGTCGGCTAGGGCTGGGATAAACCATTATGTTTTAAAACGATTAATCTAACAATTCGTTTTTCGATGCATCGATTAATCTAACGATTATTTTCTTCAGTTTGGTTTGATTCGATTATCTCCCCATTAATTGACTAATATCAATGTATACATGTTGATTTACATATCTGAATGAAAAAACATGAACAAAATATAACTATTGCTCCTAAAATTCCAAAATAAGACATTAGTCAGAGTTAGCATAAAACGTTGAAACCTTAAAAACATCGAGCTCACTGAAAAAGTGCATCTTATTCTTCTTTCAGATGAAAATAACACTTGATGTTTAGCGTTCAATAAAATAAAATAACAAAGTTCACCCAAAATACTTGTTTAGAGAAACTAAAACAATACAGTAACCAATGTAAACTTCAGGGCTTTAAGCTAAAGAGAGTGCTTTTCTAGCAAAAACTAATGAAAATAAACATTTAGAATCCAACAGTTCTGTTGAACATCGGCCGAGCTTTCTGAAAAATCATCTTCATTCACAAATAACAACTTAGACTCTTTCATTTCCCCTCAAGAAAACTGTCTCTACAGCCCGTGTTGTCATTCTACTGTGACTGAACTGGCACAGCTAGCATGTAGCACAGCTAGCATGTAGCACAGCTAGCATGTAGCACAGCTAGCATGTAGCGCAGCTAGCATGTAGCAAAGCTAGCATGTAGCACAGATAGCATGTAGCACAGCTAGCATGTAGCACAGCTAGCATGTAGCACAGCTAGCATGTAGCACAGCTAGCATGTACCGCAGCTAGCATGTACCGCAGCTAGCATATTCGCCGATGCGGAAGTACCATCTAAAAATTAAATAAACGTATGGCACACCTCTGTGAACACATACTACTGTTATATAAAGTCACCTCTGTGAACACATACTGCTGTTATATAAAGTCACCTCCGTGAACACATACTGCTGTTATATAAAGTCACCTCCGTGAACACATACTGCTGTTATATAAAGTCACCGTGAACACATACTGCTGTTATATAAAGACTGTTATATAAAGTCACCTCTGTGAACACATACTGCTGTTATATAAAGTCACCTCCGTGAACACATACTGCTGTTATATAAAGACTGTTATATAAAGTCACCTCCGTGAACACATACTACTGTTATATAAAGTCACTGTGAACACATACTGCTGTTATATAAAGACTGTTATATAAAGTCACCTCCGTGAACACATACTACTGTTATATAAAGTCACTGTGAACACATACTACTGTTATATAAAGTCACCTCCGTGAACACATACTGCTGTTATATAAAGACTGTTATATAAAGTCACCTCCGTGAACACATACTACTGTTATATAAAGTCACTGTGAACACATACTACTGTTATATAAAGTCACCTCCGTGAACACATACTGCTGTTATATAAAGTCTGTGAAGGTCTCAGACACAGAGCCGCTGCAGAGCTGCAGTATTGAAGTAGAACTTTACACAAAAAGCCGCTAGCTAAGTGCCGCCAGCTAAGTGCCGCCAGCTAAACGCCGCCAGCTAAACGCCGCCAGCTAAACGCCGCCAGCTAAACGCCGCCAGCTAAACGCGGCTAGCTAAACACGGCTAGCTAAACGCGGCTAGCTAAACGCGGTTAGCTAAACGCCGCTAGCCCAGGACCACTGGTCTAAACACCCCAAGCCTCTGTAATTTACAGAATGTGCGTCTACTGTGCGTGGAAACTGCGTTCAAGTCTGAACGCCCCATAAGTCGCACATTTTGTATCAACGTATTTTTTGCCTCGACGTCATCGGTTACGTCGGTGTGTTGTCCCAGCCCTACTAGTGACATCTACTTTAAAGTGATAGTATGTAACTCTAAATGAATTAAAAACTTTAGGAAATGTGTTAACTTGACCTCCTGGCCATAAATGTTGATATAAAATAAGTCATTTTATTAATTCTAATATTACAGTAAGTCCCGCCTTCCCTTCTCTTAGCTATAGCTCAGAATCCACGATGCCGTCCACGTTAACCAATCAAGTCATGCCAAGGGCTGTCAATCATCGTCGCTGATGCTCGTAGCTGCTCATGCTCAGTTGTTTGTCAAGAATCAACAACAAGTGGGACACAATTGTGAAGTGGAACAAAATTTATTGGATAATTTAAACTTTTTTAACAAATAAAAAACTGAAAAGTGGGGCGTGCAATATTATTCGTCCCCTTTACTTTCAGTGCAGGAAACTCAGTCCAGAAGTTCAGTGAGGATCTTTGAATGATCTAATGTTGTCCTAAATGACTGATGATGATAAATAGAATGCACCTGTGTGTAATCAAGTCTCTGTATAAATGCACCTGCTCTTTGATAGTCTCAGGGTTCTGTTTAAAGCGCAGAGAGAACCATGAAGACAAAGGAACACACCAGGCAGGTCCGAGATACTGTTGTGGAGAAGTTTAAAGCCGGATTTGGATACAAAAAGATTTCCCAAGCTATAAACATCTCAAGGAGCACTGTGCAAACAATTATATTGAAATGGAAGGAGTATCAGACCACTGCAAATCTACCAAGACCCGGCCGTCCCTCCAAACTTTCATCTCAAACAAGGAGAAGACTGATCAGAGATGCAGCCAAGAGGCCCATGATCACTCTGGATGAACTGCAGATAACTACAGCTGAGGTGGGAGAGTCTGTCCATAGGACAACAATCAGTCGTGCACTGCACAAATCTGGCCTTTATGGAAGAGTGGCAAGAAGAAAGCCATTTCCCAAAGATATCCATAAAAAGTCTCGTTTAAAGTTTGCCACAAGCCACCTGGGAGACACACCAAACATGTGGAAGAAGGTGCTCTGGTCAGATGAAACCAAAATCGAACTTTTTGGCCACAATGCAAACACAGCTCATCACCCTGAACACACCATCCCCACTGTCAAACATGGTGGTGGCAGCATCATGCTTTGGGCCTGCTTTTCTTCAGCAGGGACAGGGAAGATGGCTAAAATTGATGGGAAGATGGATGGAGCCAAATACAGGACCATTCTGGAAGAAAACCTGTTGGAGTCTGCAAAAGACCTGAGACTGGGACGGAGATTTATCTTCCAACAGGACAATGATCCAAAACATAAAGCCAAATCTACAATGGAATGGTTCACAAATAGACGTATCCAGGTGTTAGAATGGCCAAGTCAAAGTCCAGACCTGAATCCAATCGAGAATCTGTGGAAAGATCTGAAGACTGCTGTTCACAAACGCTCTCCATCCAACCTCACTGAGCTCCAGCTGTTTTGCAAGGAAGAATGGGCAAGAATTCCAGTCTCTCGATGTGCAAAACTGATAGAGACATACCCCAAGCGACTTGCAGCTGTAATTGCAGCAAAAGGTGGCGCTACAAAGTATTAGCGCAAGGGGGCCGAATAATATTGCACGCCCCACTTTTCAGTTTTTTATTTGTTAAAAAAGTCTAAATTATTCAATAAATGTCGTTCCACTTCACGATTGTGTCCCACTTGTTGTTGATTCTTGACAAAAAAATAAATGTTTATATCTTTATGTTTGAAGCCTGAAATGTGGCGAAATGTTGAAAGGTTCAAGGGGGGCAAATACTTTCGCAAGGCACTGTATATCCATAATCATTTATATACTGAAAACCTCAGTGCATGTGTATTAATAATGTATATGTATAATGTGTTCTCTCATTAACATTTAAATGTGTTACGGAAACGTAGGTGTAGACCAATCAGAAAGGAAGGGGGAGGAGCTTGCGTCGTTTTTTTTCAAATCAAGTACCTCCCTCTCTCTTTCTGACAAACTGCAGACAATCACTTTAACCACTGAAAGGCACGAGGTGCATTCACATTTTTCCAATTCAAAGCTGTACATCTTTTTGCACTCAGTGAGCTGAAGTCTATAAAGGTGATTTGTGCCTTACTATATCTATGTTTGTCTGGCTATAAAGCCAAAGGTTTTTCACATGGCTACATTCCCACATACAGTGAAATAACGTCCCTTTTGAGTCACATTTGACACATGTGTCTGGAATACTCTTATTATAGCCATTGAGTTTGACAGGAGTTATATATACGCACATGAGCCATTTATATAGCAGGATCCTAAGCCGACTGCTCATTGACTCGTTCCCATTCGGGTTCACTAATACTGACTGATACATCCTCTTTCCAGGAAACCAATCACTTCATTGTATTCTCTAATGTATTGCACAATAAAAGATTGTAAAACTCTCAGATGATGCCCTTCCTTAAAACAATTTTTAGAAGTATTTTTTCCAATGGAGTATCAGGTTTGATGAGGTTACCTCGACTGGCCTTCACTAAACTTCTTTACTGTAAGTGTTTGAAATAGTGTTTTTTATCCAAATCAAATTTAAATTGTAGCTCCCTGTAAGACATGAAGACATCTGACTCAGGTGGATATAAACTGACTCAGGTGGATATAAACTGACTCAGGTGGATATAAACTGACTCAGGTGGATATAAACTGACTCAGGTGGATATAAACTGACTCAGGTGG